TATATATATATAGAGTGATAATTAAGTTCTAAAAAATTTTAAGGAATGATTCTTCACAGTAGAAAGAGATCAAAACAAAAACTTCATACGACCATATGTCTGAAACGGTTTAGATTTAAGATAGATTTAAGAACTGTCAAAGTTGGAAGAAAAATTTCGTGCGTTTTTTTTTTATCTATTTTGAAACTATTTGGGTTATTTTGATGAAACTTTGTGCATATTTGAAGATTATAAAAGTTTTATCAAAATAACCCAAATAGATTTTGAAATTTTTACAAAATGACATTTTTCCTTCAATTTGATTTGTGTCTTTGATCTTTTCCCTTTTGTCCTTTCTCTTTTTGGACAATGACATATGAAGTTTTCTTGAAATCACTCCTTAAAACTTTTAGAGTATTTACTTAAGTGATATTAAATATGATACATAATTATAAAATAATTTTTTTTATATTACTTAAGAATTGTCTCAATATAAAATTAATGTTTGTATTTTTTTGCAGTGCAATTTCAATTTATCTGGATACATTGAACATCTTCATTCGAGTTCTGACCATACTGGCTGGTGGTGGTAATAGACGTAAATAAAAGAGTAGAATACAATAATTAATGAAGTAGTACTAAAATCAAAGTAACTCATAAATTATACGCTACACATATAATTTCAATTTAATAATATTCCTTTTAATAAGAATAAATTGTACAGTTTTAAATTAAGATAAATAAATTTAAATGGTTCATTATCATACTTGTGTTTTTGTACATGTATATTTTTTTTAATGAAAAGTTACAGTGTTATCTATATAATGTTGTAAGATTGTTACAATCTTGTTAAAAACTGTAACGTATTATTTAAAATAGTGAAACCTCTTATTACGCTTGAATGTTCTCCTGCTACTAAAGAATATATACAACATTTCTATTTAACTACCAGTTATTCATTAAACAACTTGGATAAGTATTTCTATAGTTGGCGCTAAACGCAGTTATCTAATTAAGCTGTGTAAGATAACTTGACGACAATTTATATTAAATCCTAAATTTATGTCATCTAAATACGAAATTAAATTGCATGGTTTATTCTTGTTATTAATTCATATCATACATGACGAAAAATGAAATTATGGTAAGTATAGCAAAGGTGTCGGCCGTCGACTCCCATTGTCCCAATCAAGATCGACTGCTGGATCGATAATTGGTCAGTCTCTCTCATAACGAAATCACATCGCGAAGCGGAGAAGAGGACAAATCGAGTCAGCAACCCCCGCGGTGAAGAGGGGTTTGCGCCTGCGTCTATCTTTCGTCATCGTGAAGGGTGATACTGGTGCGCGACGAATAAGGGAGAGGAACGGAGACGGAGACGTTAGTTAAAATGAGAGAGTAGGAAACTATCGAATGGAAAGGGAGAGAGAAAAACAAAGAGAAAAAGAGAGGGACATTGAACGCCGACATCGTGGCCTCGCAGTCTCTTCGCGTCGCGCACCAAGACTCATCGTTGCACTTCCTTTTGTATTTTTGCGAGCTAGTCGTAGCGTAGTAATTCGATTCGTATCCTCGCGTGACACATTCCCAAGTGCTGTAAACCTAGTGCATTTGCTGGCGACGGCGACGGTGATAGCGACGACGAATGCGAGGCTCCTTTTGAGCAACGCTTGAGAATCCGATCAGCGAAGAGACTCTCCTGCGTCTTGCGAGAGAAGAGCTGTCGGTGATCTGCCGATTTAAAGGTGTAAGTGAATCAAGTCATATGTCTATGGGGATGCGCGATTCTATATGATTGCACCAACAGTATTTAAGTGTTCTACGCCGCTATTTTTTCGAAAACTCAAGGGATGAAAATCACGAGTCCATGAAAAATCTCTCCCATTTGCGGAATGTTTATTAATCCAAATAATTTTTATAAAAAATATATCTTTTTATATGAATGAGGCACTACTCTAGTGTATTCTTTATAAAAAGAAGAATACTTTTCTAAAAATAAATTATTCTTTTTTAAGTTGCAATATTATCGAAAGATATAAATATTGAGAAAGAATATAGATTTTTCAAATTTCTCTCTTTTCGACTTTTTTGAGGGATAATTTTATGATTCATCTCATGAGATTATAATCGATGCAATGATCTATAATTGTCACTCGAATAGTGTAATCATATAATATATAAATTATTGTATAAAATTATAACAAATCGGATTATATTGGTTTGAATAAATTAATGGAAACTGTTGGATAATTAAAACAATTTATTAATTGCTCAATAATATCACTAGTTATTCTAAAAGCATGATAGAACGGCATTCAGGTTATTAGTTTAATGACATTTAGCAAAGGTTCATCATAAGATAATAATCTTCAATTCTTTTCTTTTTTAGCATTAAGATTTCATTGCATCACTCTGATCTCTCTCTCTCTCTCTCTCTCTCTCTCTCTCTCTCTCTCTCGTCTTTACTTGGTCTGTGGACTTTTCTTGTAATTCTTTTTTCGATCGATTCAAAATTTTTTTCTTTGGTTTTAATACTTATTAATGCTACGTATAATAACGGTCGATCGAAAGTAATATACATATATTTTTATCGCTCGCGTGCACATGTATTCCTCGTGCGACCACCTCGCCGTGAGGCCTCGAAGCGGAACGCGTTAAGTGCGGCAATGCACGCGGCTGGCAGCAAGGTACATCTTGGTGCATCTCGAACGAAGACTTGACATCGCGCGTGCAAAATTTGTGATACACGCCGATACTTTTTCGTCCAAATAGAAAGAACGGCGCCGTGCAACGCGACGCGACGCGACGTGACGCGACGCGTCGCGTCGCGACGCGGCATGGCGAATCGATCGATCGACGCGTGACTGTTGTCGTCAAATAAAAGGCACAGCAAAATTATCAGTTCGCAGGCTGATAAAAGCTCTAAGTCGATTCTCTGTATCAATTAAAATCAAAAAATGAAGAACTTTCTCATAAATTAGTAATTTTTTTTTTTAAATTACTGTAAATTTTTCATAAATTCTATGGTATAAATCAAATTTCGGGAAATTTTAAGTACGATTTAATTTCACATGAAAAATAAATGAAAGTTCTAAACGTAATATAATCTACGGAAGTTTTTGGAACTTCTATATTTGAAATGAACTGAATATCCTATAGAGTGTTCTAAATCTGTCAAGAATTTAAATATTTTGCTGCATTTAGAAAAAAATATCTTAATGCAAAAAAAATATTAGTTTCCACCGAATAAACAATTTTCTTGTATTGAGTAAAAGTTTTTGTATTAAGATATTTTTTCTTACAATATGCAGATCTTTCGAAAAATTTAAAATAGACTTTTAAAAAGGAGGATTTTCAGAGATTACATTAATATGTACTCATAAGGGTAAAAATTATTTATGTTCACATTATTCAAAAAATTTTTAGAACGAGATTCTCTTGGCACGCTGCCTGTAATATACTTCTCGATTCCGCGGAAAGACGCGAAACGCATTGCGAAAGAATACTCGAGGGATCGAAAAGCAAGACGAGGGTGGTTAAGGAGTTGCCTTGGGATACGGGGCTAAAGACATCACGCACGTGCGAGATGAAGATGACGCTACATAGACCGTTAGTGCCGTTTTAATTTTAGAGGACAGCAAATGGTCCACAATTTCTAGTGCGCATACATTATCTTCCTTTTCGTAAAATAAAACGAAATGTTTCCATAGTACATAAATGATTTTATAAATCTAATATCTAATATAAACACTTTTTAAAAAGTTTCATAAAATCAGGAAAAATTTGATTTAATATTATAAGTTAATTATTATGAAAAATAAATGTAATTCTATATATTTGCTCATATCAAATCTTTTATAATAGTATTATACAAAGAGTTAATATTCTATAGAAATCCACTTTGATTTTTCAAATTTATTATACATGCACTTTATTGTAAATTGTAAGGTATATCTAGATAAATTACACAAAAATTATGTAATATTCAAGTATATAAAAAAAAACAGAAACAAATCAGTGTATATGATGGATGCAAAATGTAGATATTTCTATAAAATTTTTAATTATATAATAATTTTTAAAATTTTTATTTATTGTATTGGATTGTCCGGAAAGTTCGTGCCGACTAATCTATATAATTTAATAAATGTATGCTAAAATTTAAATCTTCTGTGTTTCAATTTTCCTTCAACATCGGCGAACTTTTCGGACAACCCAATATTTCTCTGTCGCATTACTATTATGAAACACACAATAGCACAAATTATTAAAATAGCAACAATGAATGCAAAAAGCACATATTTCTTTTCTGACGATAATAAAAGAATATAAATCGATGGCAAGGGAAAAATTACAGAAGCGTAAATGAATTAAGCTTCTATAGGAGGCGAAAATTGAGGCAATATAAAAAATTGAGGAAATATAAAAAGGCGTTTACGCTTCTGCTATTCTTACATTCAATTTAAGTACGTTCTGATTTTTATTTTTGTCATAGTCGAATCAGAGTCATAAAAATTATCTTGTAACAGATAGCTTGCGTCCTAAATGTGCTCCAAATATATACATTCAATACAATTAATTTAATCGACGATTAAGTTCAACTGGCAGAACCGCGTTTGCAGTAAAATTAATATAATCTAAATAATCTAAATATAAATATAAATATATCTAAATATAAATCATTGACCATAATTTAATTCCTTTTTTCTTTATCTCCGTTGAACAACCAAAAATTCTATGTGTTAATTAACAAGACATAGCACAAATACTTGATAAGTTTAACACCCAGTTCGATTACCCAAACAAGCTGACATTAGAGATATTTTTGTAATACCGTTTATCCAGATAAGATCAGATTATCTTTTTCTTAACAACTAATTAAGAAAAGGATAACGTGACTTTAGCATTCACCGTATCTGAATTCACATTATTGCAAAATTCATTCATTTTATTGCAAAAACTTTCTAATATTCTCGTTATATATGTTAAAGGCATCAATATAACGTCAAAATGATAATAAATAGCATCATCTTGTTTGCTAAGTAGTTAATCAAAGTTTACTCCGAGTCATCTTTATAAAATCAAATATGATGGTAATGCTGAGAAGCGTAGGACGCGAAGTTTCAGGGCGCTCGAACGTGCGAAACCATCCCTGAGAAGGAAGAGGAGGTTGGCGAACAAAACGGTGGGTGGTCGAGGGCGGGGGTGGGAGGGGAGAGTAAAACGAGGGTGTCGGTCGCGAGTCGATAAACCGTGGGGCTGAACGCAAGCAACCTTGCGCACGACTTTAACATGGCGGACGGTGAGTCCCATTCCCTATTTCTCTCGGTAGCCTTGTTGAATGCTGGACGGAGAGCCGGAGAGAGTTTGAGCGTATGTCGCACAATCGATTCGCGGTTCCGCTCGTTCTCGTGGCTACTTGCCCGATTGACAACCTCTCGAGAGTTCTCGCAGAGGATCTTACATTCGTTTCCGAGCTCCCTCTCTCTCTCTCTCTCTCTCTCTCTCTCTCTCTCTCTCTCTCTCTCTCTCTCTCTTTCTCCCTCTCTCTGTTGCTCGAGAGGAGAGTAGCCAGTGAAGTGCGCGCGCGAAGATTCATCCCCTTTTTTTCTCTCATTGTCTCTGTCTGTCTCGGAGAATGGAGGAATTAAACCGATCATACGCGTTCTTTTTCAGACGAGAATCAATCGATATGCGGCTCAGGGAGTCGGTCTCAGTGTCGTTGCATCCCGGAGGACTAAACAACAAGTAAGTTATCCCGATGATCAAATCTATTACGGCGCTCGTAATAGAGGGTTAATTGATGGCCGGCCGGGCCGGGCCGGCGATCACGTGCACAGATAATAATCATCCCCTAATCGAGGTGCTGAAACGGACACGGAAATGTGAATGCCACAATTCGTGGAAAGCTGCTATTTTGTTCTTCATATTACATAATGTGTTTCTCAAGTGCTGATTTTAATGCTAGCTGTTAGAGCCAGTTTTTATTATCAATGTTATTTTATAATGAGCTTACATTCTTTATAATGTTATAATAACTTTGAATGTTGTACGCTCTTCTATCTTAAATATTTTAGTTATTTTTATTTATTATTTTTTTAATATAATATGTAAATCGGAAGATATAATCTTTTTCAACCCTGAAGATTAAAAAAATTATTTGACTCTTTTTCTAACTCTTGATAGCCAAAAATTGCAAGAAATATGACAGTTACCTTTATAGAAATTTAATACTAATACTATCCAATTAATCATTTATTTTGTGTGTTGAAAATACTGTTAACACTCCAACTTAAATCATTTATTATAAAAAAATAATATTCTTATAGAAATTCATATTAATAATGATCAGTCAATTATACACTTATATATTTTGAGTGTTAATATAATATTTTTGAAAGGTTTAAATAGAATTTTTAATTTAAAATTATTTTAAAATTCACATTAAATATAGTTGCTGAAACATTCCAGAGGTAATGGAAAATCAATGAATGTGAATTATTTCTATTATCAATTTCAATTCTACAATTTATATATATTATATTTATTAATGATGTCCCAAATCAAAGCGAGCTTAATTACCAGTGGTTTTCCTCAAGGAAATAATATTTTCTCATATATAATTAGAAGAAGAGTGAAGAATTAAATAAATACACGTCACATAAAGGCCGTGCACGCGGAGTTGCGTGGAGTCATGGCTGCAAATGTCAATCTCTATAATCTTTGCCTAACCAAGTCGGCTGATTATTTCCTAGTTATAAGTTACGCTAAATATAAACGTCTGATCCGTCTCCGTGGCGGCCGTAGGCGTGCTGCCGCCTATGCCGCCTCGGCATCGGCGGGCTCGAGTGGTATACCTAACGGCAACGCTAGTATCGATCCACCTGGACTCATTTCTCGGTCTCGCTCGCAGCCAGCTCCGCAGGCACAGCCCGAGCCGGAACGTCGGGGCCGGCGAGATCGGTGATCGCAACGAGAACGCAGCTCAGGAGCCGGTCGCCACTCCTGAACCGGATTACCCGAACGACGAGTCGGCGGATTTCCGGCTGGCCGAGGACACCACCACGTGGTCCTCTCTAGCGATCGCGCGCGACAACGTGCAGCAGAGCAACCCGTCAACGCAGCAACCCATCAACGTCAACAATAATCTCACTGAGCCGAGGATACGGAGGAACAGCTCCGTCGAAAGCCTCGCCGATTACGAAGGTGAGTGTGTCTGTTAAAAGTGTTAAATTTAAATTGCATTTGTCAATCGCTATAATCTGCTTGCTTCTGTGTGCGTGTACGTGTGTATATGTGTCCAGTGTGCGCATATTACAAACTTGTATCGATTTTAAAAGAACCATCTTTAGATGCTCCTTCTGCGTTTTAGAAAATATGCAATAATTTATTCTTTTACAGAATTTTTAATTGTTAAAATATTAAATCAAAGTAATGATATTTTATATTTGTATATGTGTGTCTATATATAATTTTGTATACACACACACACACACACACACACACACACACACACACACACACACACACA